TTCCCTGTGGGATCTGCCAGCCTCTCCAGGACGCGGGCAGAGCAGAACGGACAATCCTTGGGCTCTGGAGAGACGAGGGGGGCACAGATCCCCAGTCTCCCCCCGAACACCTAGGCCAGCTAGAGATGTTGCTTCAAGGCGGGTCAGGGGAGTCTGCAGGGAGCAGCCGGCCGAGACGCGTGACAGTTGTTAGTCCGGCGGCTGAGCCGACGCTGGTAACACTCAGCTGTCACAGCAATAAGCGTGGGACAACAGCAGGACCCCACTGCACCACTGAGCGCAGGGCGGAGCTCAGGAAAGGACGGATCAACTGGAAGACTTTTTTTTCCAATGAAGATCCAGAAGGAAGGTCCCTCTGCACTGTGAGCAAAAAGAACCCCCCATCCCCGACACACACACGGTCGCGTCACCAGCTGTTGGGCCCGCTCCACTCCTCGGCCTGGGCCCGTTGTGATCAATGGGCCTACAGATGGGTCCTCCTTGTGAGCCAAGAGCGAAGGCTCAGGCCCCTGAACAACACGCACATGGGGAGAGGGCAAGAGAGACGCGGAGCTGTCCACACACGGAGCTGTCCACACACGGAGCCTGGCTGATCCAACTCAAGCCTGTGTCGAGATCCTGCCTGGTAACCAAGAGACGTGCAAGACCCGACCAGAACCGGTGGGTCGGACGGGAAGGCTGCCGGTGAACGAGGTAACCGGGGGCTATTCCGCCCAGCACGCCCTTGAGTCCTTGAAGGACAGATGAAGAGAGGCTGCCGGGGAGGGTGGGTGCTGCCACAGACCCCCTGCCGCTGCCTCCTCAGACCCTGGGTCTGTTATCCTGCTCCGGAGCGGGGTTCTGACCAGAGGGGGACCCAGCTGGCCGTCACCCCTACTGACTCCAGCCAAACCTGGCCCCCACCATGAGGGATGAGAAGCCCTTTTCTCTTCTCCCCCCGCCCATGTGCCTGTCGATTCTTTGCTGTATTTCTGCACTTTTCTACCCCTTCGGACACAGACTGAAGGCCAGGAGGGACCGTCACAATCATCTGGTCCGACCTCCGGCACGTCACAGGCCAGAGACCCTCACCCGCACGCTCCTCTACCAGACCCCTAACCTCTGCCGGAGCACCTGACAGCCTCCCACTGTAGTTTGAAGATGCCACGTGGCAGAGAACCCACCCGTCACACCCGTTGGAAGCAGCAAGTGTCCCGTGCTGCAGAGAAAGGCAGACACTCCCCAGGGACTCAGCCAGGCTGACCCAGAGGAAATTCCTTCCTGACCCCAAACCTGGTCACTGGTGAGCTCCTGAGCACGTGGGCCAGACCCACCAGCCAGACACCTGGGAAAGTAACTCAGAGCCCTCTCCGGCTAGCGTCCTATCACCAGCCACTGGTGATATGCTGCCAGCGGTCTCAGCTCCACGCCGACCCCATCCTACCATCCCCTCCATGACCTCACCAAGCTCGGCCTCAGAGCCAGTTCGAGGTTTTGCGCCCCCACTGCCTTGGGTCTAGTAAGCGTCTGGCTTACACAGCCCTGCCTGTGTATCTTGCAACACGCCGGTCAGACTGGCCACAAGGAGGCAACTACAGGTAGTGCCCCAAGAGCCTGGTGCGGGTACCAGGCTGCCAGGCCTCGGGGCGACGAGACCGTGGGCTGGGCTCCTCCAGCAGTGAGGCCAGGGATGTTAAACCAGTGAACCGGTTAAACGCTAGCCCTTAGCCGGCTAGCTTTCAAACTCTAAGGCCTGCTGCACTAGTTCTGGCCTTCGGGGAATGGGATCGTCACCTCCAGTCCAGCTCAGTTAACCGTCCTTTCCGGGGGGAAGGGAAGTTATCTGAGAAAATGCGCTTCCGTGGGTCAAATTCTCACTCGCGAAAGCTCACACCTACACAAGCCTGATAGTCTTTAAGGCGCCTTGGGGCTCCTCATTTTTGCAGACACAGATTAATACAGCGGCCCCTCGGAGAGTCCTCCAAGAGATGGTCTCCTTTCCGTCTCGGGTACCAGGACGCTTACGGGTGGGTTTGCAGGCTCTCTGCCAGCCAAACCCTGAATCTTGTTTTGCACAGGACCACATGAGCACCTCTGCCCCATGGCCCCAAACATCCCAACCCAGTACCCCAAGAGCCACCATGCAGCCAGCCGTGGGCAGCCTGCCGGCCCAGCAGCAGTCACGGTACCTATTTTGGAGTAGGCCTCCTGGGTTCGCCGTTGCATCTGGGCCAGGTCGGTGAGGATGGCTCTGTGTCCTCGCTGCAGCTCCAGGTCCTGGTCATCCAGGTGGCGGCTGACATTCTCTGGAGGGGGACAGAGGGGCTGAGCTCCTGGGAAGCCGGTCCCCACGTTAAGTGTCTCACGTGCTTGTGATCCCTTCACCCGCCAGTGGGAAAAGCCTCCCCGCCCAGGTGAGCCAAGATGCCACTTTGTCTTGCTCTTCCAGGCACACCGAGTGCCTCCTTCCTGCCCCCGGGAGAGCTCCACAGGCACCCAAGGGAGGGCAGCAGGGAGAGGGGCAGCCACCAACCACCACAGGACATACCACACTAATACCAACCCTGGTACCTTCCCTTGCAACAAACCCCGGTGCCAGCTTTGTCCACATATTCATTCTGCTGATACCATCATTGGACCTAACCAAGTGAGTTATAAGATCAAGAACACATATTCCTGCGCATCCAGAAATATAATCTATGCTATCATGTGCCGAAAGTGTCCATCTGCTATGTACATTGGACAAACATCTCAGACACTTCGCCAAAGGATTAATGCCCACAAAACAGATATCAGACAAGATCACAAAGAAAAAACAGTTTCTTGCCATTTTAACCAGAAAGGACACTCTCTCAATGACTTAACCACCTGCATTCTGCTACAAAGACCTTTTACATCTGCACTTGAAAGGGAATCCTCTGAACTGTCATTCATGTTAAAATTCAACACTTTCCAAAAAGGACTTAAACACTTGAACTATCTCACCCATTACCAAGATAGTTTCCCCAATTATCACCTCTAATACCATTACCTCACAACCATCCCACTCTCCCTACCTCTAATATCATCAATTCACAGACACTTACCTTCCCTCCTTCCCCCCCGCCCCCGCCCTGCATCCTCCTCCTGTTCTGCAATGTGATTTGTCCTTTTCATATTTGTTCATTTTTTTGATTGTATCCTTTGGTATATATGGTTGTGACTATTTTCTTCCACTATTTGATCTGAGGAAGTGGGTCTGGCCCACGAAAGCTCATCATCTAACGACTAACAAGATGGTTTATTAAAGTGCTACATAGTCCTGCATTTGACTTAGCCAGGGGCATCCTCCAGTCCAGCACGGGAGCTGCAGCCAGGACTTGGAGGTTCTTGCTCATCCCCCAGAACCATCGCAAGGTCCAGCCATTGGGCTTGCCCAAAGGACCACAGCACAGCTGGGATCAGACCTTGGGTCTGCTCCTGGTTCCTGCCCCCTCCCCCAGGATCTCTCTCCATGGCCCCGCTTTCTCTCCCATGCACCCTCCCCCCAACCATGCTCAGCCCCCATTTTCCAGTGTCATGATGCTCCTCCCCATCAGAGCCCCCCTCCTGTGTAGCTGGAAATCCCCCCCAGCCCCGCATTTAGCAAGACGGGAAGTCATGGCCCCCTCCCCCAACAGCTGTTTGCAGCCTCCAGAGACCAGAGACCACTCCAAGCCCGCGTCTCCCCATCCTCACCCATCCTCTTGGTGATGCCCTCAATGAGCTGAGCCACCTGCTGCTGCCCGCTGGCGATCAAGGCTTTCTCCTGGGTCAGCTGCTCCAGGTTGCTGTGGATGGAGGATTCTACCTGCAGCTGGCTGTCCTGCAGCTTCTCCTGCTGGAGCAGCAGCTCCTGCTGGCTGCTCACCACCTTGTGCAGGGACTCCGCAGTCAGCTCTTTCAGCTCCTCCTGCCCGTCCTGTTGGCCAGACACCGACTCCGTCAGGCGGGTGCCAGCAGCGATGCACCGGTGTGTGCCGAAGGCTGAGCGACGACTGGTCCCGGCACACTGTGCATCCATGGCAGAGCCATGCACCCGGCCATCAGTCACCTCCCCCCTTCCTTGAGCCGGCCCTTTGCTCATTGGCTCAGGCCTCTTCGGAGCCGCCCACCCACGGCCGACTTATCCGTTAGGGCCCATGATACTTTTAGGGGCCCACGAAAATGTTTTAATTTCTTTTAAAATCAGAAGAAAAAAAATAACTTTTAGGGTCAAAGAAAACGTTTTAATTTTTTCCTCACATCAGGAAAAAAACGAAACTTTTAGGGCCCACGAAAATCTATTACATTTTGCCTAAAACAGAAAAAAATAAAACGTCGAAGTTTTTAAAGTTATATAAAAAAAATAATTGTTTAATATTGATATTATGGTGGGAGGGGCCCACGAAAGCCATAATGCAGCCCTGCGCCCACCCACCAGCACCCACCTTCAGAAGCTTCATGGCCTCCAGCTGGCTCACAGCGGCAGAGACCAAGGTGTTGACCGTGTGCTCCGCCCGGTGCTTGAACTGCATCTGGCGGGTGGCATAGCAGACGGCGCGGGCCCGGTTGCTGACGATGTGGTAGGCGTTCCAGGTGTCGGGGTCCATGTCGGCTGTGCATTCCGCCAGGGTCTGGTTAGAACAGCCAAGCAGGATTAGGTTCAATAAAGCCATGTTCGAGGCCCCTCCCAATGCCCCAGTGATGGATGGGAGGGGTAAGACCCCTTTCGAAGCATCCCACCATTCAGCAACTAATGGGTTAAACCCAGAACAGTAGGTATCCAGGAAGTGCTGGCAGAACCAATGGGAAGAAAGAGTTGAGATTTGAATTGAAAGAGAATCTACCTGCTGCTGTTCTTAGGAAGGAACAATCAGTTCCATACATACAAGATGGGAAGCGACTGTCTAGGAAGGAGCATGGCGGAAAGGGATCTAGGGGTCATAGTGGACCACAAGTTGAATATGAGTCAACAGTGTGATGCTGTTGCAAAAAAAGCAAATATGATTCTAGCTTGTATCAACAGGTGTGTTGTAAGCAAAACTCGTGAAGTCATCCTGCCGCTCTACTCTGCACTAGTTAGGCCTCAACTGGAGTACTGTGTCCAGTTCTGGGCACCACATTTCAAGAAAGATGTGGAGAAATTGGAAAGGGTACAGAGAAGAGCAACAAGAATAATTAAAGGTTTAGAGAACATGACCTATGAAGCCAGGCTTCATGAACTGGGCTTGTAAGGGGACAGAGAAGAGCGACAAGGATGATTAAAGGTTTAGAGAACATGACCTATGAAGCCAGGCTTCATGAACTGGGCTTGTTTAGTTTGGAAAAAAGAAGATTAAGGGGGGACATGATAGCGGTTTTCAAATATCTAAAAGGGTGTCACAAGGAGGAAGGAGAAAATTTGTTCCTCTTGGTTTCTGAGGACAGGACAAGGAGTAATGGGCTTAAAGTGCAGCAGGGGAGGTTTAGATTGGACATTAGGAAAAAATTCCTAACTGTCAGGGTGGTCAAATATTGGAATCAATTGCCAAGGGCGGTGGTGGAATCTCCCTCTCTGGAGATATTTAAGGACAGGTTAGACAGACATCTGTCAGGGATGGTGTAGACGGAGCTTGGTCCTGCCTTGAGGGCGGGGGGCTGGACTCGATGACCTCTCGAGGTCCCTTTCAGTCCTATTATTCTATGATTCTATGAGTTCAAGCCAGGAGCCTGGGGAAAAAGAGGACTTGAACCAGGATATCCATGCCTGGAAAAGGACTCAACCTTGGCAGTACAGACATGCGAGTAGATAGGGAATGTTTATTTAGATGCGATCAGGTTATTTTCTTTGTTTTCTGTTTCCGTTAAATTGCTCTGTGCTGAGTCCATGTGCCCACCTCTCCCAATCAGGGCCGGATTAAGGGGAGGTGGCTACCCGGGCAGCTGCCCAGAGTGCCAACCTATGGGGGGCGGCCAGATGGCAGCTGTAAGGGGCGCCATGTGTCCGGGGCTGGGGGCCATGCGGCCCCCCCTTTAGAGCTGCCATCAGGCACCGTGCGCCTGATTGCAGCAGTAAGGCGTGCAGCGCGCCAGGGGGCGGAGCCACGCATGCACCGCGCGCCCGCTGCCCAGGACGCAGGAATGGCTCAAGCCAGCCCTGCTCCCAATGCCCTAACTGAAGCTGAATTCCAGGAAAGCAATTCTGTTTTAATCTGCTCTCAGTTGCTCTAACACCTGGCAACTAAGTATGCTTTACCAAGTATGGATTTTTTTTTTTTTTTGCTTTTGTTACCTTTAAGGCTAAGATCAGATTCCTATGCCCTCGCGTGCCTGAGACTGAGAGATCAGCTATTAGAAATTATATTTTGTTTTCAAGAGCTCTCCTGACAGAGGGTAAAAAAGCTTGGGGGATACTCCATGGGAAGAAATTCCCACGTCTTCCTGGGTTCCGAAAAGAGGTTTTGCACTTGGTGGTGGCAGTATCCCACAAGGTCAGGGAATCCGTGGCCATGGGGAGCTTTTAAGAAGTTTCTAAAGGCAGGGTATTATTCAAGTCTTTTGCAGGCCCCACTTTCTGCACATGAAGTGCCAGAGTGGGGAACAGCCTTGACACCCCTGATCCTTCCTGCATGGCAACGCACAGAGAAAGCGAGGGGTGACGGATCATGGTGCATCGATAACGTCACAGGGACTGACGGCTTCTAGAATCCAGCAGAGAAAGGCAGACCCAGAACTGCCAGCTGGAAGCTGAAGCCAGATGAACGCCAGTTAGAAAGATGACCCATTGTAACGGGGAGGGCAATTAACCAGCAGGGACAAGCTTCCAAGGGGCAGGGTTGATCCTCCGGCTCTTGGTGTTTTCAGAACCAGACTGACTGTCTTTGTGGAGAGATGCGTTCACCACACACCGGCTACTGACCTCAACACAGGGGCAAGTGGGTGACACTCTAGGTGCTTCGACAGGCAGAAGGTCAAACTGAATGATCAAATGGGCCATTTTTGGTTTGACCTACAAAACTAGGAGAGGCAGGTCATGATACAGCAAAGCTCTCCTGGGTCCCCACAAGCTAATAGTGTCTACAAGTACGGAGAGTGTGGGACTCAAACAAGCTGGGTAAATCATCCGCACCAGCAAGACAGACCTGTCCTCCCGCAGCGAAGCAACATTGTGTCGGATCCAAGTACCCCGCCGTGGTCAGTTCGCAAAGGCAGAGAGATGCTAGCCCCTAGGCATCAGATTGGACATCGGGAGACCTGAAGCCTATTCTTGGCTTCACCATGGACTCTGCATGTGCCCAAAGACAAGCCACGTCCCAGTGTGCCTCAGTTTCCCTCTTGAAAACAGAGAGTTGCACTGACCCACCTTTGTGGGACGTTTAGAACCCCAGAGTGGAAGAATGCTCTGCAGGAGCCGTTAGCGACAGACAAATTGACACAGCCTTGGTGTGGGTGTAGACAGGATGTTGTGCTTAGCTCCAGATGTTAGAGGGAGTCAGGAAAAGAGCCACTGGAATGATCAACGCTAGAGGAAAAGGCTGGAAGAAGCCGGCAGCGCTCAGTGGCTAACAGCAAGCAGAGGAGACACCATACAGCTGAAAGGGGAGCCCCATGGGAGAGACCAGCAGCAATGGGAGGAGGACGGGGGACACGTAGGGTGGACAATTCGGCCTAGTGATCTCTCTGGGGCTGTGCCCAGGCAAGTGGCAGGAGACCCATTGGCTCCAAACACCATCGCAGGAACCGG